CTGCTATTACCAACTCATTGTAAACTCATTGCAGTGAAGAAACAAACAAAAAAAGCCCTAAAAAGCCAGATTTTCAGGAAGACCTTTTATTTGAGGCAGTTTTTTGGTATGGGCTTGGCTTTGAACAGCCAGGTGCAGGTTTTGGCAGCTGCAGTAGGTGCAGCATGCCTGCTGGAGCTGTGTCTGAAATCAAGAGGGCCAGAGGAAGGATGGTCCTTCCCCAAGGATTGCTCCCACCCTGAGAGCTCTGAATCCTCCTGTGAGGTTGTATCTCCACAGCACCAGCCTTCAGCAGGCTGCTCTTAGGCAACAGTGCTCCGTGCCCAAGTTCAGGAGGCAGACCAGACTTTTAGGCATCATTTCCTTGTTTCTGAGCACCCTGGAGCTTTAGGTCTTGACTAAGTCCAACTTCAGATATCCCTGGTCAGGCTTTCTAGCACAAGTTGTGATAAAATGTAGTACACAGGCACTCACCTGCCCTGCCTGCTTTGTTCATGGGGTGGCTGTGAAGATTAACAAATAACTATTTCAAACACATTTGAGATCTTTTCCTGGATGATGCTCTAGGAATCCATGGGATTGTTATCCAGATGCAAATAGGCCTGAAATAGTATTACCTTTCCACTGAAATGATGAATGAGTCTAATAAAACCAAATTTAACAGAGCACTGCATAATCAGACTTTGTCCTAAGGGCTCTGTGATATCTTAGGTGGTTTCATTTTCATTATGAAGAAATACCAATCTATGCCCTGCATCAGGTCTGTCAGCACAGACAGTTCAGGGTGTTTTGGAGCCCAGGGAAGTCGTTCTGGTGAGCTGCTGACCCCTGTTTAAAAGCAAAACCCTTTCCAGGTAAAAGCAACCTGTGGAACCATTTTGTCAGTTTGCCAAAGCAGCTTCAGCAAAGTGCTCTGCTTGGGCAGCTCAGCATCGATTTTAACCTGGGGAGGGGTGCAGGTGAGTGCATTTGCATGGGAATGAGTGTTGAGAGTTTTCCAGCTGTTGGTGTGGCCTTGTGCATGACCTGCAGTGCAGCACCAATGGGATGGTCCTTCCCAAGGCTTCCTGCATCCAGCACACGTCCCTGTGGCTGGGCTGGGTCTGAGGGCAGTCTCTGCCTGCTCTGTGGCTCTTTCTGTACTGTAGCAAGCAAAAAACCCAGAGCCTTTCTCTCTGGAGTAGCTGGAAGTTCTCTCAAAGGCATGGATTCAGCTTAGGGGTCCCAGTTGCCCAAGAAGGAACTAAGGGGAGGTTCTGAATTGGTCTAAAAGAAGAATAATCCCCAGACCCTCATGGAGCATGTTTAAGTGCAGCAATACAGATCATTATTTTGATGGTGTTTGTTTAAAGCACATTTAGGGGTTTTATTTACATTTTGAAAATGCTTTTCCTTCTCTGCTGAGCCTGATGCAGCCCTGCTCCTCTTTGTGTCCCAATGTGTCCTTAATTCCAAGGACAGGACAAGTGTTTTGTTTCTGAGACCTCTGGTCCTGGCTTCTAGTGAACTAATCCTAATGACAGTGCCTTTCCTACCTGCTTCTCTTGAATCTACAGAGGATGAAGCTTGCTCCCAAATGTTTCAGGATGGTGAAATGAGAGGGTTAATTTATGCTGGTGATTGTGTTAGACTGTGGCTGTCCCCTGCTCCCCTTGGGGGTGTTCTCTGCTCCTTGTCCCTTCTGCACAGTCATTAACAGTCTGGAAGGTGTCAGTAGTGCCAGGTTTTTATTTCCAGGGTGCTTAGCTCTCCCTCTGGAGTTCTGCAGGGATAACACCATCGTTTCCTCTGTGTGCTGGGCAGGAAATGCAGATCACGCTGGTTTAATCAGCACCTTTTCCCCAAGACAGCTCTGTCCCTGGGCTCCTTTGGCAGCACGTGGCAGTGATGTGTGTCACTGCAGGCAGGGCCAGGCAGCCTTTGGCCAGTCCTGCTGAATTAATTGATTGAATTAATCCCTGCCTTTCTCCCTGCAATGTGTATCTGCAAGAGATCTGGACTGGCAGCAGAAGTTGGTGGGTTGGGAAGTTTTTCCAAGCTTAGTTATGTTGGTGTCCTGCGGGGGAGCAGTCCTGCAGCTCCCAAACAATCCAGCTTTTGTCTATTGCCTACAAGCAGACCTGGGAACGATTTTGGGGGAATATTTTCCTCTGCACTGTGCTGAACTGTACCAGTGGCAAGGCACAGCACAGGAGAGGATAAGCCTGTGCATTTTGAAGCCCAAAGGCAGTTTTGGAAAGCTGTGCAGGGGAGGGTGCCCACAGCAGCTGGCAGGCTGGGACTTTGAGTTATGTTCCTTCAGAGCAGAGCAGGGATTTCAGCTTTCCTTCATCAGGTTAGCAGCTCCACACCAAATCTTTTCTTGACAGATGGGAGCACTTGCTCTTTCAGTTTTTATGGCTGTGATGTTCATTTGCACCAGCTGGTGCTCAGTCCCCTGTCCCCTGTCCTTGTCCCTTCGTGGCTATTGCCTCTGCACAAGGCTGGATAGGGAAGGGGATTTGCAGGGAGCAGAAATCCTTTCAGGCAGCTGGCAGGAGGCTTTGATTGTGCCACAGCAGCTCAGTGTGTGGGTGGGACACTGCTCCCACTGCTCCAGACCTGCCCAGTCACCTCCCCTCTGCATCTGTCCCCTTCCCATCCCAGTCTGGGATCATTTTAAATGGATGCCAGGTTCAGAAGCACCTGGGATGTGGCATTCCAGAGGCCAGGCTCACTCTTGGACTCCTCAGCCCTGCAGACCTCTGAGCACCCGAGGTCAGACTGTCACTGTCCCCGGGGCACATGAGTGTTCTCACCTGGAAACTCAAATATTCATTAGCCGAATGAGCCATTGTTTGATGGCTTTGGTTTTTGCAAAGGATGTGTTTCTCATTTCTTTGTTCTTTGTTTCTGTGCCCAGCTATGTCCAGACGTGCTGGGGACCAGCAGAGATGGGCACAGAGGAAACACATGGCAGATGAAAAACTGCCCACAGTGTTCCTCAACTTTCATTAGATGGTGCAGAGGCAGGGAATGTATTTTACAAAATACACAGTTAAATTATAGAGAAAATGATTTGTGGTTTTATTTTGTTTGTGGTTTTTTTACTTTCCTATAAGGAAGAAACAATAAAAAGTACTGGAATACTTGCTTGCCTTAATTTTCACAGGCCAGGCTCCAGGGATGTACTTACATGCTCCATATTTGTTTTGGGTGTTTTTTTAGAGGCTTTGGGACTCTTAGCTCTGTGACACCTGCCTGAAAGGCAGCTCATCATCTCTTGAAGGAAAACTTCACTCCCCCCTCACTCTTATTTGCTCTCCCTGTATTATCATAATGAAATGTCAGCTTGCCACCAGCTCTGCTGCTGAGCAGATGTCTCCTCCTAATTACTGTTGTTGCAGGGTTTTGGTGTTTATCCTGGCTGTCTAGGCAGGCTGTTACAGCATTAACTGTCTCCCATCACAGCCTGGCCATGCAGTTGGTGCACATCTGGAAGAAGATGTAAGTCCTGGTGCTCCCCAGCAAGTTTTTGTCTGCTGGATCCCCAGAGCAGCTCTTTAATGTGCCAAGGACAGCATCCTCCAACATTCAAACTGAGGAGAGGGCCTAGCAGAAAAAATATCTGCAAGTGTGACTTCCCCTCCCCAAGTGTGTCCTGCTGGAAAGTCGGCTTGAAAAGAGCAGGAAGTTAAATGAAGTTTGTTCTTGGTCCTAAAGCACAAACTGGGATGCTCCAAAGGGCAGGCTGCCTTTGTGGCAGTGTGTTGGAAAGGTTTGTAAAGCAGGAAAGGGTTAGAGCAGCATTTTCCTCCACCCAATGTGTATTTCCTAGGAGATATGAAAAGTGTTCATGGGGAGGTATAAAAACAAACATGCTCTGTTTGCCAGAAGGAAATGTGAAAACAGTGGTTGGAGCCAGGGGAGAACAGAGGCCAGGGGGTCCTGGTCCTCTGGGGAGGGCAGGATTAGAGGATTTCTTCCTCCTCCTTCAGTGAAGTCTCCTGGGTTTTCTACAGTTCTGCTTTTGGGGTCAGTTCATGTTCTGAAAGGTGGTGGTTTTTTATTTTTCAAGTTCTTTGAGTTCCTGAGAAATCAGCCACTTTCCTACAACTCTCTGCTTCCCTCAGTGGCCTGGAAATGTCTTTCAACTGCAATATTGCACAAGAGAGGTGTTTTTTTGTTGTTGTTTTCAGTGCATCTCAGCCTCCAAGCTCTTTGCAAGGGTTTGTTTCATGTTTGATGTACCAGCACTTCAGCTGGAGCCCACAGAGCTGGAGCCTTTGCTGGAGCCTCGTGGAATGAAGGGCCAGGTTTGGCCACAGCTCTGGGTGCAGGAGTGGTGGGGATGGCTGGGAGCTTGGTGCCAGGGTGGGGATTTGGGTTGATGAGGTTGTTTTCTCTATTTAAGGGCTCCATGGAGAAGCTTGGCTGAATAAAGAGTGCCTCTTTGGGGGTACTGGTGCTTGCTCCAAGCTTGGAGCTCCATTATTCCATCTTTGGAGCTGGAAATGCCCACTGATTTCTGAGCTGTTGGCTGGATGTGGCACTCAGCTGCTTGTCACCTGTTTCACTCTACCTGTGGTTCTGCCCCTTTTGATGAGCTTCACAGCACTGCAGTTTCAAAACAAATAAACTAAAAGTGAACCTCTTTATTTGTGTCCCACAAACCTTTAATACAGCTGGTGGCACAGCCCATCAGCTGCTCTGATGAGGCCAAGCAAATCTGCAGGATTTGAGTGTTTTCCTTCTCCAGCAGCACTGCTTGTTCCCACTGGTTGAGCTTTCCCTGAGTTCATGTCTTTTCTTTGCATAATTCCTGGATTTTGAGAATTGTGTCCCAGCAAGGTACCAAAAAGGAATGGCTGTAGGAAATGGCATTTCTTCTCCATTATACTCCATCTCCAGCAGCAGCTGGGCCTGAGCTTGCACCTTTATTTTCACCCTCCTGGGAAGGTTTCCCCTGGGTGTGTTGGCTGCCATGGCTGACCATGTTCCCTTTTTTGGGTGTTTTTCAGTGCACTACCAGAAGATCATCCACAGGGACATCAAACCTTCCAACTTGCTCTTGGGAGACGATGGCCACGTCAAAATCGCTGATTTTGGTGTCAGCAATCAGTTTGAAGGGAATGATGCCCAACTTTCCAGCACAGCAGGGACACCAGCCTTCATGGCACCAGAGGCCATCTCACAGACTGGCAAAAGTTTCAGTGGGAAGGTAAGTGTTTGTTCACAGTGGGAAGGTAGGTGTTTGTTCACAGCTGGTGTCCCTGGGACCCCCAGGCATGGCACAAAGGGCAGTGCCACACCTGCATCCTCGCTGTGGTACAAATCAGGGCTGTCATTCAGTAAAAATGTAGCTCCAATTCTCTCCAGTCCAGGCAGAACTCACATGAGTTGCTCTGTGCAGTGGGCAGACACTGCTGTGGATCCCTGCCTAGACAGAAGCCATGAAAGGAGGAAAACTTTTATTTCCTTCCAAAATAATGAAGAGACACAAGGAGCTGCTGAGCACCAAGGTCATATCTTGATTCCCTGGAAGTGAGAGACACTGGTGATGCAGACATAGGGATAGGGTCTAATGGGGATTTTTTTGTCTGGAAAACTTTTGAGGTTCAGCCCTGAATGGTGTAATTTCCTGTAAGAAGGGGCTGCTTATGGTCACAGTGGAACAAGGGAGCAGTGCCCAGCACAGCCCTCATTCCTCAGGTGTGCAAGAGCTGCCCTTAGGAGCCCAACTCCAAAGTGGCATAGAAAATGTTAAATCCATATAAATAGTGTTTTCTGAACTGGTGGAAAAATCCAGCTTACTCAGGTCATCTGTGTTGCCTCTCCTTTACTCTCTGTTCATGCTCTTTCAGGCACTGGATGTGTGGGCCATGGGAATCACCCTGTACTGCTTTGTTTATGGGAAGGTAAGCTGCCTTTCAGCTGCTGGAGCCCTGCACTGCACTGTCTGCCTGCCTTTTGACTCATTCCTTCCCAAATAAAGGCAAATAGTAGAGACAAAGAGCTACCTTCTGTAAGCTTAAAAATCCCCCTGCAGTTCAGAAGGAGCTGAAGCTGTGATCTGTGGAAAGGATCGTTTCCAGCATTGGGCCCTGAGTGCAGAGCCATTGTTTGTGCTACAAACCCAGAGCAGCAGCACCAGCAGCAGTTTGTGGGGGGGTTTATCCACATTGCCTGCATTTAGAAATGAGCCAGAGCATGGATAAAGGCATGGGATTGATCCTAAACTGCTGCAGCACTTTTGGAACCAGATTACAGAAAGCTCTGTCTGCCAAGGCTGAGTTAGGACTGATGGGAGATGCAGTTTAGCAGAGGCAGCTCTTCAGTGCTGCCTTCTGCACACTCCACGTCCTGTCATGGCCAGAACCCTCGAGTCCCAGCCTGTTGTCCCAGGATGAGCAGTGCACAGGTGTGTGCAGTCTCTGTGGGCAGGAATGTGACCTGAACCTCTGTCCAAGCACAGACCACTGCAGTCCCACCCCCCCAGGCACCAGGCATCCAGCTCTGGGCGAGAAGTGGCCAGGGAAGGTGACAGAGGCAGTTCATGGTCACCTTGCAGCCTGGATGAAGGAGGGTATCCCAGTCCAGTTATGTATTCCCTAGATGCCTCTGCTGTTCTTTTGAATTTATTTTTTAATAAGGAATGAATGGATTTATTGTGTGTGGGGAGATTTAATTTATTTCCATCTCTGTGTAAAATCTTGGGAGTGCAGAGGTTGTACTTGGTGTTACATGAATGACAAATGCCTGAGTGATGCCAGGGTCTTGGACAACTGGAAAATCTTTTATTTATTTTACAGTGCCCTTTTATAGACGAATATATTCTGGGTCTTCATAACAGGATCAAGACCAAGCCTGTGGAGTTCCCAGAAGAGTGAGTAAACTTTACTCTGCTGCTGTAAAATAAAGTTCAGTTTCCAGCACTGTTCTCTGTGTGGCACAGGGGGTCACCAGGGAGGGATGGACATGAGTGGGTGAGGTGCTCTGTGTTCTTCTGGGTCCTTCACATGGGTTTTGTGTTGATGATGTTCCTGAGGTGTTAAAAGTGCTTCTGCTCTTCCTCTGTCCTTGTTGTGCAGACAGGGACTAAAGGAAATGGCTCTTTGGAAGTGAAGGGATTCCAGGATCTAGGAAGTTCTGCCCCACCTACTTGACTCTGGGAATGCTGCATGGTTTGGTTGAGGTTTTCTTTCTCCCAAGCAGCAGCCACCAGAATGAGCTCATGTATTCATTTTCAAAAGCAATGTGGTGATCAACCTTGGACTTGGTCCAAGTAAACACATCCCTCTCCTGTGGACTTCCCTTGGAGCCAGAGGAACTGTCTGATGACAGGATGCTTGTCCTGAGATGTGCGACCACAGCTCAGCAAATCCCACTCCTCCAGCACATCCCAGGGAAATATGGGTTTGTTTTTTGCACTGGCAGAGAGGGGCAAGTTATAAAAAAGCAGGAATGAATTTACCTGTGTGCTGTTGAGGGTCTGGTCCCATCCTCCTTGGGTCAGTGCAGGAAAGGCCCGTGGGGCACAGTGGCAATGCTGGGATGGTCAGGTGGGAATGTCACACGGGTCAGCTGTGGTCACAGCATGGCTCAGCAGGGCAGGGGACAAGCCAAGGCCACACACGTGGCATTTGAGCAGTGGAAGTTCGGTGCTGAGGTGCTGAGTGTTTGTGGTGGTGTCAGAGTCTGGCAGGAGGTGATGACACTCCCTGTGTGCTCCATGGTCACCATCCCTGCAGCTTCAAGTGTTGGCCACTGCTCAGCATTTCCTCCAGCTTCAGGCCTTTGGTGACGTTCTGTTGGTGAAGAGTTTGTTTCACCTGGTTCCTGACAGATGAAGTAGCCAGAGCTGGACTCTTTCTTTTCCTTCCCAAATCCACACAGTTGTCAGGCAAAGAATTCTTGACCTAGTTGCTCATTCTAATAAAATTTATAGATAAAATGACTTGATTCGGGGCAAGCACAAATTAAAACTCTAATGAGAGGCACATGTGGTATTAGAGGGGAAGGGAGGGATGTTGTCAGGCAGCCTGTGCTATGTGCATGTATCCAACATCTATGGCAAGGCAAGACTTTTTTGTGAGATGCTCAGTGAATTTTCACATTACAGTAAAGTGCTAGGCCCCTACCTTGGCAGTCCCAGACTTCCTTCTGATTCCACAGAAAGTGATGGGTACTCAGGGTGCCCTCTTTTAGACACCTGGGCTGACTGAGCCCTGGTTAATCACCTGCACTGCATTAATTCCCCCTGCACTGATGAGGGGACACGGCCACTGCAGACAGCCAGGCCACCTCTGCCCGGCTGGAGCCACACAGGACTCTGGAGCTGCAAGGACCTGGGGGTCACAAACCCCACTGTGGGTAAGGAGCAGTTCTGGCAGGACCAGGTGACTGGGCTTGAGGCTTTAGGAGCACAAAGGCTGGTCATGCTCTGCTGCTATGTCCCCACCTGCAGTTGGAACAGGACTTTGTTTTGACAGCACTGCAGCCAAAAAAAACCCCAAACCTGTTTGTGTTCCCCTGGCAGGTTTCTCCCTTGCTCAGGGCTGGCAAAACTCCCACCCCTCCCTCAGCCACCATGTATTTGGGTTAGCAGTCAGCTCACAAGTGCTGTTCCCATCTGCCTCTGCAGTAAGTTATTAACATTTAATGGGCTAACTGGGTTGTGCTGAGATCCCTTCCTTCATTCAGGCATTTCCTTCAGCGATAATTGGGCTGCATGATTTATGTGGATTCCTCAGTGACCTGTTCTCCCAGTCTAAAAAAAGCTGCACCCCTGATTATGTTGTTGGAGGAGCTGAGGGTTACTAGGTGTTGACAGCTGTCCAAGCCACATCTATTTGTTAGAGGCAGCAACAGAGACATGGAATTCACTGGAGTGGATCCACCCTGACCTCCCACAGAATTAGCACCTCTCTATAGTGAGGAGTATTTTGGTTTCAATTTATTTCACCATGGCTACAAAAGACACATTCTTGTTTGCAGACAGCCCATGGAAACTCGTTGCCTGTTTCCTGTCAACCTTTAGGACAGATGGATCTGACTGTACCGGTGTCACCATCCTGTCCCTTCCCTTAGAGACACCAGGATAAATATTTATGGCACTGGAGTTCTCATTCATGTCACTGAGTCCTTGGCATGACACGAGGCAAATGGGCTTAGCTCACACTCTGAGCATCCTGGCATGACTAAAAAGCAAGCTGAAGTTTCTCTTCAAACATTTGTCAGTAGAGCCAGAAGCTCTGCCTAGTCCCTGCTGGTGGAGCCCAGGACAATGTTCCCTGACCCGGGGGCACCCTGTAAAGTGATCTGTGTGCTGGCAACCCTCCCAAATGGATGCTGAGCTCTGGGCTTGGCATTTTCCTGACAGCTCCTACTGGACTATGGCTGTGAGAAATCCCAGACAGCTCAGGCTTTTCAAATGCAAAGTGCCATCAGGCACAGCGTTCACACTGTGCTGCAGACAGGAGAGAAGGGAAGCCAGAGACAGGGTGATGTGATGTTACCTGGCCATAACCCACCTGACACTTGGTGATCCTGTTTATGGGGCTTTTCCCTAAGACTTTAACCCTGTGTTGCATAGAAATCAGTCTGGGGCCCAGAAATGTGATTTTATATTCTATTTGTCGTATTTTAAGTAAAGCTGTTGACACTTTGGCACAGAACTGATTTAAAGTATTTTTGGAATGCCATCTCACCTGCATCAGTGTGGTGTCTGGAGGAATCTGTTTGTTCTGACCTGCTAAATGCACTGTCACTGCCCATGGCTGTTCCTCTGGAGCAGCATCTCGAGAGCAGCACTGTTCTTTCCATTCCAATTGAAATTGTCACCTGAGTCTCTGGGGACTCATCCTGCTCTCCCCCTTGTCTGGGCTCTATTGCCTGTGTACAGCAGACCCTGGATGCAACTTTTAATTGTTTAGACTTCAAACTGAGCCCTCTTTTTGCCTCTGAACGAGCAGCAATTCCTTGTGCTTGTTTGTAAAGATCTCGTAGCCAAAGTCCAAATAAAATATTCATGAATTATTAAACAGCAGCTCTGTTTTCATCAGACTGAAATATCCCTTGCTGTGATATGGTTTTCATTTTGGTTTGTGATAGTTTATTCCCTTCTCTGCTTGAGGAAGAGAGTGCAGAGGAGGTTGGCACAGCACCTGGTGCTCACTATTGTTTTCAGTCTCAAATCCAACCTTCCTGGGGAGTGACATTTTATGCTAAGTTCCATCTCCATGAAGAAACACAGTTCTTCAGGAGTCATTTGTGACACAGACTTTTAACTGCCTAATACAATTCAGTCACATGCTGGCATTTTACTGCAATAGCACTTGGATCATTCAGATCTAGTGCATTTTAAAGGCATCTCCTGCATCATGAACCACAGGAGTCATTGCAGCCTTTGGACTGCAGGACCAAGGGCTCCATGTCAATAGAGTGGCTTCTGGATTCAGGTGCTCTCACATTTTGATCTTGGAAGTGGTGTTAATAATTTAGATATATTTCTCTTATTTGCATTTGTTCATTCCCTCCTTTTGTTGCCCCAAGGCTGAGCTTTGCAGGTAGGGAATACTGAGTTACAGGCTGCTGCAATCAGTGTTCTGGAAACAATTTAAATAACACAACCTGGAAGCTTTGCTGGGAACTTAAATGTCAGATGTTTTATCCAGCATACAGTTGCTCATGATGCAGGTTCAGCAAATCAAGCTGTGCCCCTCTTGATTCACAGAGTTCAACTCCAATTCTGCTCTCAGGAACACTTTGTTGTTCCAAATCTCCCCTCAGAAATTCCCCTGTGTGGTGCTGTCTTCAAGAATGTCCTTAGACCCATTCACCTGATCCCTCATGCTGCATTTTGAGTGTGCACTGTGGTGTTAGGGGGCAGATCAGGATAACCAAGCCCTGTAGCAGTGACTGTGGTGCCTTCCTTTTTCAAGCCAGCTTTGCAGAGAAAATACCTCTTGAGCAGGGCAGATTCTCTGTCAGGTATCTGCAGTGAGAGCTGTGCATTGGTGCACTGTAACATTCCCTTGTTAACTGTGTGCTGCTGTTTTCTTCCCTCAGAGCACAGATAAGTGACGAGCTCAAGGAGCTGATACTGCGTATGCTTGATAAAAACCCAGAAACGAGGATAACAGTTCCTGAAATAAAGGTAAGTTGGACCTTGATATGAGAGCTTTTAGTCCCAGCTGATTTTGGTGCCTTCTAATGAGGCAGAGCTGTTGCCAGTGTTTGTTTTGGGAGCTGTCTCTAGCACCCTCCCTTGGAAAGGGGGAGCACTCATTTTGCAGCCACAGCTCCATCACTGCTTCTTGCTTGGGGAATATTGACAAAAGCTTTCTTGTTTACTTATTTAAATGAAAATTACTCAAAAGCTGGCTGATCTCAGTGAATCCCTGGGAGAATCAGCATTGTCAGGGGAGCTGCAAGCTTCAGAGCCTGGGCTGGCAGTGTTGGATGTGCATTCCAGGGACTGGGTGTGTGTTCCTCCTCTGGTCCTTGTGAGGCCAGTGGCCTCAAGGCAGCACATTTTTTTCTATTTGGGAGATGTTTAATAATAGAAATAATGAACAGGCCTGGCAGAGCACAATGTTTCACAGGTTGTGGTTTCATTCTGGGTTTGCATGGGCTTGCTGTCCTCCTGTCACCCCTCACCAAGGCTTTAGACCTTCTAGAGGATCTCAAAATTTCCATAGAGATCCATCAACATGCTCTGCAGGGCAAGCTCTGCTTTGCTTTGTCCCAGGCCAACACCAGTATTGCCATCAAAGCTGACAGTAGAAAGGCTGAGCTTCAGGAAAATATCCTGACATCCCTTCCTTCCATGCCCAGGAGACCAAAGCCAGGTTTGGAGATGTATTTATGGGATTTCACTTGACAGCTCTTGCAGGCACGCTGTAAGGCCCTGTGGGTAGAGGAGCAGAGCTGAGTGCTGGCCCTTGTCCCTGGTTGTGCACAGAAGACAGGGACTTGCCTTGGATGCTGACAGAGGATGTGTCAGGCTGGGCTCTGTGCTCAGCCCATGCCCTCAGACAGAGCTCTCTTCCTATTCAGAGACAAAAAACATCCCATGAGAGGCAGCAAGAAAATGGGGCTTTGCTCTGCTGTGCATGCAAGACAAAAAAATGAAAACACTCCAGATAACTCAGGTTTTCAAAGCGTTTCAAACTTGATTCAGACGGTGCCACGGTGCTGGTTGGTGGCAGCAGGTGTGACAGCACTGAGCCAGACCGCAGCCATTTCCAAGGAAGCTGGTTGAAAACCATCCGTGGCAGTGGGAGATGGAGCTCAGTGAGCCCTGTGGCCCCTCTGTGCCCCAGCCCAGAGCTGTGTGTGTCCTGCAGGTGCACCCCTGGCTGAGCAGGGGCGGCGCGGAGCCGCTGCCGCTGGAGGAGGAGCACTGCTCCGTGGTGGAGGTCACCGAGGAGGAGGTCAAGAACTCTGTGAAGACCATCCCCAGCCTGCCAGCTGTGGTATGTGTGGAATACAGCAATCCTCTGAGCAGGGGGCTGTGCTGAAGCCTTCAGGTGCAGGAGGAGGTTTGGAGAGGGGACACGTGTGCTCCTGGCATGAAATCTTGGTCTTCTGAGCCAGTGTGGAGTTGTTGTGTGTGGGGTTAGGTCTCCAGGTGCTCATGGGCACCCAACTTCTCAGGTTGTTTTCTTCAATGAGCCAAGCAGCTAATAGTTGCTATAAAGTTGTTTATTGCAGAAGCACATCAGTCTCGAAGGCAATGGCAAAAAGCAAATGGCATAAAAGCACATGGCATAAAAAACAAATGCCAAAAGCAATGGCAAAATGCACCAGCTCTGCCTAATGCATGTTCTTATATAGAAACTTCCCAACAAGCTGAGACACAAACTCGGATCACCACTTCATAACCTATTAGAATTTTAGCTTTTTAGCATGCCAGGCTATGCATAAACTACGTATATGGTCTATTTTGTTCTATCTGAAAAATGTAAGCAATATTCTTACTAGAGCTTTATTATGTCTAAAACTATGTTCTTGGAGCCTCCATGGATACACCAGTATCTAGGACTGTGTTTCAACCTTCACTAGAACATGTACTGCTACTCTGGCATCCAAGACCTTTACTCACTAAAAGCACTTAAAACTCATTTTACTTACTTACTCATTTCATTTACTTACTTGCTTGCTTGCTTGCTCATTTATGCTGAAACCTGAACTTTCACCTCTGCCTCATGTGTGAGTGGCTTAACACACTTCAATCCATCCAAAGGCTTTAATTCAATCCCTGCACTCTGATTTCTTCAGAGAGAATCCTGACTTCTTCTTTCTGAATTCTTCAGAGAGAATCCTGACTTGCTGACTCCAACATTGTGTCTGAGCAGCTGTTCTGTGGGTTCTTTTGCTTCGTGCTCTTTGCTGTAGAGCTGTAAAATGTCAGCTGAATTATTAAAGAAGCTGTTGTTACTCCTTTGAAGTAGATTCCAGGAGTCAGTCGTGCTGTTCTCACTGGTCTCTTCTCTTCCCCAAAGATCCTGGTGAAGGCCATGCTGAGGAAACGCTCCTTTGGGAATCCCTTCGAGGTCCAGACGAGGAGGGAGGAGAGATCCATGTCTGCTCCAGGGAACCTGCTGATGTAGGTACCTACAGCCATGCCTGCCTCTGCATGGGCAGGGCCAAGGTGTGGGGGAAGCAGTTTGCAAATCTGCAAAAGATTTAAAGCATGTAAAGATGAAAAGTTATAAGGTTTAAATTTAAAAGCATTAAAAGATTTAAAGCATTTAAAGACAAAGCTCCCTTCTGCATCAAACACTGGAGATAAAATCTACCTCAAGTCCTCTCAGATTGAAATACAATTTACTACTGCAGCCTAAGAACTCTGAGAGATGCAGTTCTCTCTGTGAGTTTGGCCTAAACACATGTAAGGTGCTAAACTTGAGTCTGTTTTTTCACTTCTTAGTTTATAATGCTGTGATCAAAGATCCATTAGAGACTGGTAAAGTAAAATAAGTCTAATTAGGGTCTAGTTTGGATATATATTGGAGGGTTTAATTATTCTCTCCTTTCTATGGACAACAGAAATGGTACCAAATGAGCAGTTTATGTAGGTTTTTTTAACTCAAAATGATGGCATTTGACCTGTGGTCTGGAGGCCAAGTCTGGGCAGAGACATCATGGTCAGACAAAAGAGAGCACTTTGAAATTGCTTTTTCACATGAGAACACATACAGTATTTTTTCACATGGTTTTTTGCCAGTGAATGAAATAGTGGAACACATGGCAAGGGGATACTTTGGAGGTTGAGTATAAATGACTATATTGGGATTAAAAAGGGAATAGAGATCTTGATGACTAATAGATTCACCAACAGTTATTAACCCTGATGGTGTGTACAGGGATGGAAAGAGAAGTCTTCTATCCTTTACTTGGTTCTTACTTTTCCTCCCTCATTTTTGTCAATGATTCCTTTTGGAGCCAGGATTCTGGGCCATCAGTCCAGTAAATAACAGCTGGACCAGTAGCCTGATCTGGGACAATTATTTTTATATAAATAAAGTTCTCATCCCACAAAATCTATAAGGCTGTGGCTGACAGCAAGCTGTGTTGTCCCAAAATGATTCTTTTCCACCCAGAATCCCAGTGCCATTCCTAGCAGACTCCCATGAGGGTGTGCTGGGTCTCACTGCACCATTGACAACACAATTAGAGGAGTCTCTCTCTGTCTCTCTCAGGTGTGTGGGGATTTAAGGGCTCAGCTCAATTAAGGATGACAATGTTCTAAGTCCCCAGCTGTGTATTGGAGACTTTAGTGAAGGCTTTGTCTTGGTGTCCATGGCCAGACACCAGTTTGGCATTTAAACACCCTGTTCATGAGTGCTGCTGTGGGACACACCTGGAGCATGGCAGTCACAGCTCCTTTGCCATCTTAGCACAAAGGGATTTGCCCTGATTTATTTCTCTTTACTCAATGCCTTCCAAATTAGTTATTGATAATTGGACACATGTTCCTACCCATATCTTCACTATCATTCCGGGTCACTGCATTGCATTGCTCTGAAATGGGGAAACATTTACTAAATTTGAAGGAAAATATATTTTATTCTTCCCACTGTCCCAGACAGTTAACTTGGAGCAAGGCAGAATTTCTTTTCCACCCCTTATTTCAGGGTGGTCACCCTGAGCCTTTGTCCAAAAGGGCCCTGTTCCCTTCTACCTTCATTTGAGATGCTTGAAAATTCACCCAGGTGATGGAAAAACTCCTTGACCCTTGATGCTGGTTCCTGCCTGGAACTGGGTGCTTTAGTATCTACTCAAAAAAACATCAAAGTTCATTTGATCCCAGGTGGAACTTCTGATCAGCCACATAATCAATGTCTTGTCCTTTATAAAATATTCTTAGGCCTTCAAGATGAGCTATATGCCTCCAGTTTTGTCTCCTTTTTAAAGTTGCTGGTCAGATTTTTCTCAGTTCATTGAAACCCAGCATCTTTCCCTGTCTCAGCTCATTCTGCTCCTGTGTGTTTTCAGGCTCCTTGTGCAGGCTGAAAGGTTTATTTTTTAAAGCAGTGTGTAAGTTCCACTTTTGTGCTGCTGTGTCTGGTGCCCTTGGTTTACAAAACCATGCCAGCCCAGGGATGGAGCTGCAGCCATACCCAAAATCAATGTGAATGTGGCAGTTCTCCACTACACTAATTCCTGTGTATAATTTCTCAGTTTCATGCCATCAGTGCCAATTTTTGGCAGTAACAATTGACTTAATCCTAAATTATTTCATGCACAACTGGAGCTTTGAGTACCCATCTTGTAACTGTTGTTTAAAGAAAGATTCTTGCAAAGTCTCTCCAACAAATGGTGTTGTACATTAAACACTACAGCAGGGATGCTTCTTTGAAGGCATATGGAATATTATTATTTCAAACTTTGGAAAACACTTTGCTGACTGAATCTAATGAAAATAACATCAAATTTGAATAGATGTGTTGGATCTAATGGCATTAATTTCAAGTGAGCCATGGCTAAATGGGAAATATTCATTGTTCAGTGAGTTATCTCTTGATCACAGTGTTATTTCCTCAGGGGCAGAGTAGACACCAAGCTCATCCACTTCTTAATTCATTTTGGTTGTTCCCTAGAAAAGCCTTGCTACACATATGAAGTGACAATGTTATGAATAGAGCTGTGTTAAAATAAGTGTCAAGTGAGTCTGGATTTCTGTAATGTTTTAGGATCTTTCAGGAGCAGATAATATTGCTACAGTAAGGCTGTGCAGAGCTTCTGCATGTCCATCATGCTGGACAAGGGACCCCAAAATTGGGACATGCCAGGACAGCAGTGCCTGCAGCCATCACTGTGCTCTGGACATGTGGCTGCCCAGGAGGAGCTGAGAGAAAAATGAGCCACACATTCCCCAGCTCTCCTCCAGAGAGCTCCTTCTCTCCAGTGGCAATGTCTTTAGAGGGACATAAGTCAGCTTTTGTAGCATTGCATCTCCTTCTAATTATAGGTAGGAAATAACTTGTGTTTCTATGGAAGAAAAAAGGAAAGCAATTAATGTACTCCAGTTTCACATTCAATTTATTTAATTAGGCTGTATGTGAAATTTCCAGAGCCCCACTCACTGCTGCTTCAAGCATCTTTCATCTGTGCCATTTCTGAGGCTGTACTCTGTAGGAAATCCTCTGGCAGCTGAGCTGAGCTCTGGTACCAGAGCTTTCTATCTGATGCCTAATTGATGACTCTTAAAATGGAGCTGTCCTTCAAGCTCACTCTTTGGGATTTGGAGAGGAGGAAACTAAATCACGTGGGTGAATCTTCTTTTAATTTCTCCCTGCATTACCTACACAGCATGCTGGGCTCTGTTCCTGGAAATGCTCTGTGCAGATGTCTGTGGTAGCAGCAGGGCTTTGCTGTTGTAACCTTGATGCCTTTAGAGGACAGACACCATTAAGACACCACTGATATGAAACAGTTCTTAATACTGGGAGAAGAGAAAGTTTTTTGGGTTTTTTTAGCACTCTTTAGACCTGGAAGAAGCACATCCTCTCCTGGCTGTTATTTATTGCTCTGTTTATCAGCACTGAGCAGTTTAAAAGGCAGATGTTCAGTGCAGACACACTCAGCAGGTGGAGGGGAGCTAAAATGAAAATGCCCCATTTAGCAGTCCTTGTTTTGCACACCTAGAGTGGTGTGAGTGCTGCCAGCTGTCACCTCACCCTGTCAGCTGCCAGATGTCACTGGGTCCTGCCCTTCATGCAGGATCTGCAAGGACAGGCAGTGATTCATGGAGTCTCACAGACCCTGCAGACCGTGGCCACGTCATTAGTGATGGCTGCAGAAGCAATTGATCTTTTCTAATTTTGCAGCTCCAGATTTTAAGCCCAGTTCAGCATTCACAGCTAAGTTTTGGATTTCTGGTAGCAGTGTTTGCTGCGTTTCTTCTGTCTGCTCCACATTTCTCCTAATGGAGTCAGCACTGGCTTCACCACATTTTATTGCTCTCATTTATTGCAACTACTACCTATCAAATTAATTGCTGTGTTTTGACAGACCAAATTTACTTTCCCATTATGGCTGCTAATACTATTGATGAAATGTGGTTGTCAGCTCCTCTATGGGGGATCAGTTGGTATTTTAAAAGCCTACTCTGTTTCCAGCCTTCCCAAAAAGAGACCAAAAGGTTTGTCACTGCCCTTAGGGCCATATTATCCATGTGGGTTAGGCACGAGGAAGCCAAGGGGAAAAGGAGGTTAAAAAAGTGGCTCCAAGCAGAAACAGCTTCTCCCAAAGAGGGAACTGCATGTTTTGTGGGAAGAGCCGTGCCCCACATGCAGGTAGGTATCCTCACAGCTGTGGCACAGGATTTCCCTCTGCAAGGACCCACCCTGAGCATGAGCCCCCTGCAGTGAGGGGCTCAGTGCTCCTGGGGCTCTGCCCCATTGCACAAGGTGCTGATAGGACACAAGAGCCCAGAGGTGCCAAGTGCCATGGCCCAGGGCAGCACAGCTGGACAGCAGCAGAGAGCTGGAAGCCATCTGGAGCTTTCAGCAGTGGCAGGGGCTGGAGTGGGTTTGTAGGAGTGCTACCAGTGCCTGTCTCATCTGTCCTTCAGATAAATGTGGTGATGTTCCATCCCCATTCCACTCTGCACTCTAGGCTGGATAGGCACAGAAATACAAGCTCCTTCACCTGCTGCCATTGTCTTCATGATCACTTTCTTCCTTTGTCTCATTGTTTTGCTCTCAGGGACAGATTCCTCTTAAACACTTCTGTATATTTGCATCCATCTTTAAGGTAATTCCATGTCTGTGTTTCCCCTGAGTGCTGTAGAAACCTGTGTCCCGTCCTCAGCCTGTGTGATTTGTGTGGTAGTGAGAGCACTTGGCTCCATCCTTCCTTCCTGTAGGAGCAGCTTTACTGCAGTCATTCTGTGTGTGTGACACTAATGTTTATGTATGCTTTTTATTATTATTTCCATTTGTGATTCTCTGGCATTTGAGCTGCTTTCAGGGAGGGAGGGGTGAAAAAACCAGTTGGGTTTTAGCAGGAACTGGTGCTCAGCCCCACGTTTGCAGAGGGAATAGCTATAGAATTTGGGAAAGGCTGAGCTTTGTAATTTGAGTTTAATATTCAGTGGTTATGCAGAAGAAAGGGCTGGAGCCATCCCATGCTCCATCACTCCCTTGTGCTTCTGCCCCTGGTGCAATAATGGGAGGGCTCTGGGCTGACCAAAATTGGTTGCTCCAAGTGACCCCCCACCCCAGCCAGGACTTCATCAAAACGTGGTCACTTGTCCAACCACTTGTACAAACCCTTCTAGCAAGTGTTGGTCCAGTTAAATCTGTTAAATAACAAAATAACATTAATGCAAACCATGATGAGCTGTTTGCAGACACCTCAGTGGGAAGTCCTAGGATCCAATGGTGGCAGGACACAGCCTCCAGCCAGGCTGGGAACATCTGGGCTGGGAACTGGGAAACAACCACACATCTCTAAATACCTTTGGGAGCAGCTCCAGCACTTTGGAGACTCTGCCTGGCCTGGTTTATTGCTCTGAGACAAATGGATGAGCCAGAGCTAGGATGTTGTCTTCTCTGAGCGAGGAAGGAGTTGCAGAGATTCTCAAAAAAAATAGCCAGGAGAAGGCAGGCAGGGGTGGATGGGGACTGACAGCTGGTGCCACTGCCTCCTGCTGCATGGGGACAGATGATTGCCTTGAATGGGGACTCAGTGGAGGAATTAGGCACTTTCCAGGGATGTGTGTTTGTGCTGTGTGGGTTGTCCCACACCATGCCTGTGTTTGGGAGGGCAGTGTGGGGAGGCTCATTCCTTGCTGGACACTTTTGTGGCAATCCCACAGCTGCTGTGGGTGACAGCCATGTACTCTCCTGGGTAATTACACAACCCAGGCTTTGCTCCCCTGTGGCTTAAAAAATGTAGGAGAAATAGAGTTTTTTTCCTTACCAAGAGTTATTTACTGGAGATTCCCATCCAGCCTCAGGCCTCACGAGCCTGGCTCCTCTGCAGACATGGAGCTCTGGTACTGGGTCTCTGCTGCTTCACAGGCAGCCCCAAATTTTTGGCTGGGTTTGCCACCATGAGGGTCCTCTCACCCTCACATTGAGGTGTTTGGGGAGGCAGAGGCTGCTCAGAGTGCTGGGACAGCACTGAAGACACCCCTGACAGGAGCAGGATCAGCAGGATGTGCCAGACTGGGAGCTGGGCTGTGCTGAGCTGCCACAGAGCAGAGCTGCTGCTGCTGCTAAATGAGGTGATCAATCGTTTGAAGAGGGGGATGACAAGCACTGAAGACAGGGCTGTTCCTCAGCCTTCCCTGCAGGGAAATGGTCCATAGGTTCAAGGTCAGGTTTATTGCAGAGCTTTACTGAAGTAGAGGGAGAAGAGAACATGATTTTTGATCATTTCTGGTTTCTTCAAAAATTGGGTTAGCCCTGTATGTACTTTGTGTTGTTCCTAGCCAGGAAATACCCCCAGAACCCCCACCCCACTCCCCCCAAACCCTGTGTGCTCCAGGCACATGCCAACAGCACTGGCACTCCACTGCCAAGCTGCTTGTCCATGCAGGTTCTACAGAATGCCCTGGCACAGGGTGCCCAGAGCAGCTGTGGCTGCCCCATCCCTGGGACTGTCTAAGACCAGGTTGGACAAGGCTTGGAGCAACCTGGGGTCGTGGGAGGTGTCCCTGCTCATGGCAGGGGGTGGAACAAGATGATCTTCAAGGTCTCCTTCCAACCCAAAGCATTCCGTGGATATCTTTGTGATGGGGAAATGGCTGTTTGAGGTGAAGTCATCTGCCTGGGATGGGTTCTGCTGTGGGTGGCACCTGGAGGTGTCCCCTCGTGTCCATGCAGTCACAGTGACAGTCACACTCTGGCTGAGCTGGGTGGAGGTGCTGCTCCTCGAGGATGCCCTGGAGTGCAGTGCAAACCTTCTACATGAGAAAACATCAAAAGTTAGGAGTAGGAGGAAAAGGCTGAAGTTATTGTGGTCTATGTGCAATGCAAGTAAGTGACCTTGGCTGAGATTCTAGGTCTGCTGCTCTCAGGTTTTGGGGACTGCCGTTCTGGGGACCAGGCAAACACAGAAACCAAAATCACACAGTTTTTGTGTAGGACAACTGGGTTCTGGTAGAAACATTTAATTTTACTGTCATTTACAGCAGCACTTTGTAGAAGCAGTTGTGGAATCAACTGATCTCACTGCTCTGATCTTTATAAAAAATCAGATTAAAAGAGAGCAAGCCAGAACTCTGCAAATGCAAACTAGATAATTTGGAAACCTGGTTTGCAAGACTTTCCCCTAGAACCAGATACCTGCTCATGGAGAAGGGCATTCAGGGAAGTGGAGAGCTCAGTTTTTGGGAGCAGGTGTCCAGGCACAAGCTGCCCATGACTGCAGGGCATCATGCTGGGCTATTGCTGAGGTGTTTATGTGGTACCAGCACTACAGGCGGGTTCATTGCTGTTTCCTGTTGATACTGCTCACCTGGGTTGGACAAAACACCCCCTGCCTTGCTCTGTGCCTCCAGTGACTTTGTTTTCTTGTCCCCGTGTAGAACACAGGGCAGCAGAGAAGCAGCCAGGGACCCAGAGCTGCCCGACGTGTGTGAAGACGAGACCACGTCCTGAGACTGCAGCTGCCACGGGCTGGCCAAGCACATCACCCCCATCCCCAGCCACAGAACCAGACCCAGCCCAGCAGACTGGACCAAGCCAAGGCAGGAGGATCAGAGCAGGATCAGAGCAGCACCGAGGAGCAGAGTGAGCCGTGGGCGAGGTGCCCGTGGCTCCTCCGTGTGTGCCTTGCTCTCCACTTGTGCTTCACCCCGGGGGTTCAATGGGGGTTTCTTTGTCTCAAGGGTCATTTTCCCCCAGAGACTTCTTCCTTGTGTTTTTGCATTCTCTACTTCAAGCATCAGAAAAAAAAAAATGGCATTAGAGACAGATATTGTACCAGAGGGCAACTGTTTTATTTAATGCACTTGTGTATACCAGGAGTCCTGCTCCTGGTGTGGAGGTGATGGCAAAATGGTTTTGGGTATCAGTTAAATGAGGATGGGACCTTGCTGTTGGAGTGAACGCTGTCCCTCCCTACACCTTTCTTTCTCTTTCTTCCCTTTTCCTCTCATCCCTGGGTTTTGCACAGTGTCAGTCCTGCCCCAGCCCTGGCTTTAGTCAGGGCAGTGCTGTAAATCCAAGGAGATTCCCTGCACGTGCAGTGAGCCTTGGGATGTCCCAGAGCTCTGGAACATGGGGATATGCTGCTACAGAACAGCTCAGTGCTCCAGGGCCATCTGCCAGGGCTGCTCCTCCCAAAAAGCTGGGAATGCACCCCTCAGCCCTGCACCCATGGACCGTGTTCTCCAGATGAAAAGAGTGGCAGGCTTGGGCTTTGTTTTATTTCATTTCCTTCTCTCCACTCATCTCTTGAGTACCTGATGCTTTTAAACTTTAGTTTCCTGAAAATGTCCCAAACTGGGACAGGTTCCTAGGATGGAAAATGTTGGTGGAGAGTTTTTGGAAAGCTACAGAGCACAAGTTCACAACTTGATCTTTTGACTTTTTTTTAAAGGCTTTAATTTTAAATTTTGTTTTAAGACTCTGATTTTTATGCATGTGCTGATGCTGCTATTTTATCCATAGATTGCTTCTAAACTTGGGGTTAGAAGCTTCATCTCAACAGTTTGACAGCTGGTAAGATTGCACTTAAAGAGGCAAATACAAAAGGGCAAATAGAGCCATTTCTGTGGCTGTTGACTGTACAGACTGTGTGGATAATCAGAAATTTCACTCTTCCATTCAGACAGTAAAAACCAGTGACATCCATCTGTCAAAATATATGTCATTATTTTCCCTTGAGCCTTAGGGGGTCTGAACATGCCCCTGGGAAACCAGTGGGATTGCAATCTTATTTTATAGTACTTAAAGAAAGGAAAGATTAAATTTGGTTCCTACATAATCATCTTAGTGTCTGTTTTTAGGTTAATCCTGAGGACTTGGGACTTTGTTCCCTTGTTTTTTGTGCAAAGGGACACAAGTACAAGGGTTGTTGGTAGTGACTGGTGTATCCTGGTGCTCCTGTTCTGTTTGCTGCAATCTGATTTGATGGTTCCCAACATTTTATAGCTGGGCTTTGCTGTTGGTGCTTTTTGTCTGTCCCCAGCCTGTCACCTCCCCTCACTCATCCTCAGCCACCTCAGTGGGATGCCCAGCAGTCACCAGCCTGGGCTCTTCCTTGCATCTCACCTGTAAATATTGGCAAAATGGGGAAGAACATTGCTGCTTCTCTGTTTAATGGAGACCTTTAATGCTGAAAGCTGGCAATGCTCTTGGATCCTGTAAAGGTTTCTGCTGTGGGCCTGAGCTCTGCACTGCTGCTTCCAGGTGCTAAATCCTGCCTGTCTGTGTCTGCACCAGCTGTGAGCTCAGCATCCTCTGAGGAGCCTGGTCCTGCAGCAGGAGGATGCCCTGAGCCTTCCCCCAGCCTGGGACACATTTCTGCTTGGATCCTGCAGCCTTGTAATGAAGATTCAAGTACCCAGAGGTAGGGGGTGGAAATCCTGAGAGCACAGGGGATTCTGCCAATGGGAAAGATTGTCCAGGTGCCTGTGGAAGGGACAGTCTCTGGACACAAACAGATCTGTGCTGTGCTGCCACCAGCTCCTGCTGCACACCAGGGCCAAGCTGGGCAAACTGTCCTCCAGTTTGTGGAAAAAATTGATGTCCCCAGGACAGGGCCAGGGAGTGACCCTGGAACAAGGACACATCTCAGGAACATGCCCTACCCCAGGCAGAAAAGGGAGTTCTGGTAATCTTCATCCCTGTGGGACTTGTGAAGTTTAAGCAATACCTGGGTTGTTCTTAAAGAGCTCTCAGAATGCAAACATGGGGTTAGTTATTGTATTTTTAATCTGTGGCAAGAAAAATCTGCTAACCCAGGCAGTTGGTGTTATTTTAGTGATGCCCAAGGGGTGGGAGCTGGTGGGGCAAGGCTGCAGGAAGGCTGTTCTCAGCCTCAGTTAATGCAACCAAACAAATGGTAAGTCACAAATGAGCTCCATGTCCTGTTCCTTTAGTGGTACCTAAATCATCACTTCAGTTTTGGAGAGGAATGGATGTTTTTTATGACTGTCTCAAAATCTACTTTGAAATATTTGCCCTTTCAGCTAAAATAAATCCTTCCCACAGGTCCAAGAACCAACCCCTCGAGTTGTACAGCTGAGCTCTGAGCTGGTGTCACACCTTGTTTCTTCAGCAAACCTGCCAACAGGCTTTCCTTTATAGCCCAGAAATCACCCCTATCGTGTCACAAAGAGCAGCCTGAAAACTTGCATGAAATGAGGTGAAAAATGTGCCCTGGCAGCAGGAGAAAAACTCAGATAGGCAAAAACAGGCTCTGCTCACTCAGCTGCAATGAAATCCTTGCTTGTTTATGTGCATGTTAGAGCAGCTCAGAGCAGCACTGGTTCTGCTCTGGAGAAAGGAAGGGACTGAGGAGAGGGGATTTATTTGAGAATAAACATCCCTGGCAAGGCAGTGCTATTAGCTCTTGAGTGAAATCATTCTCTTTAGCTGGATGGGTAAATATTTGTGATGGAGGGGATGGGGTTCAGCGTGGGCTGTGCAGAGCAGGTGTGGCACACTCGTGCTTTGGTGTGTGCTCTGTGTTTTTCCCCTCCAAATCCTCACCTCTGCTGTTCCTGGAGCACTGGGATACTCTGGCTGTGTTAGCTGGGCTCAGAGTCACCAGGAGGGCTCCTCTCCCCCAGCACCATTGCATCTGGTCAAGGTTTCCAGACTCCCACAGGCTGAGGATGATTTTCTTGAAAGAAATGTCTCATTTGAGGGAACAGCACTTCTCTTTGATCTCCAGGAGGTGAGATCTTTGTCTTGCTCAATGGCTCTAAGCCTTTGGGTTTGGGGGGTAGTGCTAAGTAAAAATGCTGATGAAGTCTCTTCTGTCCTGCACTGAGGAATGCACAGTCCATGTGTTTTCCCCTGTGGGCAGGAATGTGCTGCTGTCAGTGTCACACCTGCAAACAGAGGAGGTTTTCAGCATCAGGGCTGCTGGTGGGAAAACTGACTTTGTGTAGGGCTACAACCAGAGGGGGCCTGAACAGGGACAGTGTAGCTGTCCATGCAAAACAAAGAGTGGCTCAATAAAACTTCCAGGGTGTGATTTCATTCCTTATTTACTGCCAGACTTGCAAGGAGGAGCTGCTGGGAGAAATTTGGTGTTCCTTCAGCACAACTCTGTCCTGAAGCCCTTGGCAGCGCTGCCATGGGGGAATTTCTCTGTTTGTGGTGGTGGCTGAGGTCTTGTTTGCTCTCCCCAGCTCAGTGCTTTCCCTCCCATCTTGCCCAAAATCCCCATGAGCTTTGTCCTACCAGCCCAGGGGCTTTGTCCCAGCCCCTGAGGGACCCAGGCTCCCCCAGGAACAAGGATCTCAGTAAATATCCCAAGGCAGGAGGGCTGTGCTGGGGGATGCCACTGAGAGCCTGAGCACCTCTGGTGTGCAGCAGGGAGACTGGAAAGCAGAGAGTGGAGGGGTTGTGTGGAAATGGAGCTTGGATGAGGTGCCAAACTTCTCTGCTTTAGCAGGGCACATTTGTAGTGGAGTTTGCTGAGCAAAGCAGTGCAAGGCATTCCCTTCTGGTCCAGATCCTCCTGCTTGGCTCGAGTCCCTCCCAGGCTGGATTAACCTGGATGATGCCATGACCCTGTTGCTCTGAATGCAGCCTTCCATGGGATGAGGGAAGGAAAGCAGCTCATCAGTCCCTGCCTTGCTCCTTCCCTTCCTGAAGAAAAGCCATGTATGCTCAGAGCCCAGACCCTCCGTCAGTATCCACAAGCCATCAATCAAAGTGCTCCCAAAAAATGGTGTAAATTCAAGAAAACGTGAATTGCAATTCCTGAGGGTACAATGCAGATCCTCTGTGCTGTAATTTTGCTGCTCTTTCTGATTTCTAGGCCTGTTCTGTTGGTATTTCAGTCTCTTGTTGCACTTGAAGTTGACCCTCTGCCCCTGTATGTGCTCTGCTATGATTCCAGCATGATGTAAATGCACTCAGTACTGTGACAGCACGTGGCTGTTGCACTGTAAATATGTACCATGAAGAGAGAGGCTATTTTTTGCATGCTTTTGTACTGTAGAACTGATGAGAAAATGACAATAAATTCCACAGAGATGACCCTGGGTGTAAGTGCAGTTCCTCAGGCAGCACTGGCTGCTGGTTCTTGGGTGTTTTCTGCTCCTCCACTCCTCTCTGTCCTTGTAGCTGTGGCAGAGGGGCTTGGAGACATTCATTTCCTTGCCTTTTCCATGCTGGGTTTTTCCTGGATGAAGAAGCTCAGGGGTCTGTCATGCTCAGGTGACACATCCCCAGCTATTGCTGCTGAAATTGTCTTGCCTTCATTCCATTTGCTTCCAAAGAAAAGTGCAATCTCCTTTGCAGAGGGGCTGGCCTGGGTTGGAGCTCGCTCAGCACAGTTGTGGAAACCCCAGCAAATCCTGGGCTCAGCTGGTGCCCTGGGGCAGGACTGGCTGAGCCTGCCCTGCTCCAGGCATCTTCCTCCAGGAGAGCAAGCCAGAGGCACCAAGCTCCTCTCATTTTTATATTGCAT